AAAGTTAAACATCCTTAGATTGGCCTACAAAACCTTCCATGATCTGATCCCCCTCCCACCTTCTCCACTGCAGCTGGCATTACTCACTGTCCTTCTCTACATCCATGCTGGCCTTCTCTTTGTTCCTAACTTGTCAAACTTCTCCCTACCACTAGTCCTTCACATTTACTCTTCCATCTTTTTGAAACACTGCTACTTATTAGCCAAAACTGCTCATCCTTCAAGTCCCAGATTAAGTGCCAACAGCTCAGAAAGTTCTTCCCTGACTACCCCCCCATTATATATTCTCATGCACCCTGTACTTTTTCTTCATAGCATTAATTATCATTGAAATCATTTGATTTGGGAGGATAACTATTTGTTCAATGTCTGTTTTACCCCCAGACCATAAACTCCACAAGGGAAATAATTATGTGATTCTTATTCACCAGGGTGTCTTCAACACCAACAGCAGTACCCAACACGTTGTAGACATTCAACAGATATTTGTTGAATCAATAAATGTGGCCTTTGTCAGGTTTGTGACCATTAGGCCCAAGTTCAAGAGTCCTAGTACTAGAAAAATCTAAAATATATATAAAAATTAGCACAAGTGCTCAGTTAATTATGGGATAATATGGTTTAAGATTATATGTGTATTTCAGACTCTGAATATCATGTATGTAAGTGCTTTGGATATCTCTCCAACAGAGAAATCGTGGTGTGGAAATACGGTAAACCTGTCTCAATTTAGATTATTCCTGCATTTGTCCCACCTGTATTTTTCCCCACCATTACATTTTGTGAAATAACCTATGATATATTTTTCAATCCCTTCTATACTTGCTACTATGGGTATTTTTTTTTCTTTCCTATTCTTTCTTTTCTTTTTTTCTTGCTTTCTTTCCCCCTTCCTTTCTTTCGTCATCCTTTCCTTTCTTTTTTCTGTTTTTAAATAGCAATCATAGCAGCCTACAGCAGCTTTTTAAAAGGAATCTCACCTAGCTCTTTTCAGAGTAAATAAGAAAAGGAAAATGTGCTTGCTACTGATTAAGTAAAAAATAAGAAACAGCCAACAAATACTGGTTCACACTCTGGGCAACCTCTTTGCCGCTGCATTTTGGCAGTGATGGCTAACTGTCCCTTTTTATAGAAAACAAATGTTTTGGGGAAGTAGCTGTTCTATAGGAACCATATTTTCCAGCCCCCTTTCTCCTACTGCTTGCATCTAAATGGGGTCATTTGACTAGCTCTCACAATGAAGTTCAGCTGGAAACTATGAAACTATGTGTTTCATTTCCAGGTCAAGACAGTTAAGAGGTGAATGACCTCCATTCTCTCTTTCCTCTTTCGGCTAGATGCAGGGGCTTCAAGGCTCTAGGAATTCCAGAGCCACAAGATAACAGGAGCCTGTGTCCCTGAATCACAAACTGGAAAAAAACCACCTGTTTAGCAGGCACACTTACAGAGAACTTTTACATAAGCAAAAGTAGAACTCCTATTATGTTAAACCTGTAAAATCTCAGAGTTTATTAATTACAGCAGTTAGCCTTAACAAATACATTCATCTGCCTGATCTCTATTCATTCCTTCCCTCTCCTGGGCTGTGTACCCCAACAGTGCACTTACAATCCTGTGAGGTGTCCATGTGGACTCTTTGCTTTTCGTGCATCCTAAGGAAAAAGAGTGAAAAGAATCCCTAATGTAAATAACACCTTCCAGTTAATAGTAAATATTTTCTTTTCTTATTGAAGAATTTCCTGAAAAGAAGTTATAGGAAATTATTATTTTGTAACCTACAGTATAATAATTGATTTTCCACATGGATTGTCAATAAATTCTAAAATCATTGGGTAAAAGTTGTGGAGCAACAAGGTAGTCTCATGATGCCCAAGGAATACCTACAGATTATTTTCTATGTTTCTATGTTAAAGGGGCAGGGAGGTAATTAACCTTTTGGAGTAGAAAACCTATCGGTAATCCCTTTATCAAAGTTATTAAACTTAGCATCACTAATAGTAGGACACAGATGTTATTATAAGGCTCATCCTATAATGCAATGGGAAGTGCACAATATCACCCATGAAGCATGCTCACCAAGAATGTTTAACCTGAATCCAATCAAGCCCCTGACCTCACTGCCCAATATGATAGCCACTATTACATTTGACTTTGAGTACCTGAAATATAGCTAATCCAAATTGATATGTGCTATAAGTGTAAAAAAACACATGGGATTTAGAGAATTTAGTACCCAAAAAATGAAAAATATAATATCTTTTTAATATTTATTATATGTTGAAATCATATTTTAGATATATTGGGTTAAATAAATATCTTAATTTATTATGTTTCACTTTACTTTTCAAAATGTGACCACTAAGGCCAGGCGCCATGGCTCACGCCTGTAATCCTAGCACTCTGGGAGGCCGAAGCAGGTGGATCACTCAAGATCAGGAGTTCGAAACCAGCCTGAGCAAGAGCAAGACCCTATCTCTACTAAAAATAGAAAGAAATTAATTGGCCAACTAAAAATATACAGAAAAATTAGCTGGGTAATGGTGGTGCATGCATGCAGTCCCAGCTACTCAGGAGGCTGAGGCAGAAGGATCACTTGAGCCCAGGAGTTTGAGGTTGCTGTGAGCTAGGCTGATGTCATGGCACTCTAGCCCAGACAACAGAGTGAGACTCTGCCTCAAAAAAAAAAAAAAAAAAAAAAGTGACTATTAGATAATTTAAAATAGATATGTGGTTTATGTTATATTTTTGTTAAATAGCTCTGTTTTAGAAATAGCCTCCAGCTTATAAAAAATAAAAGGAATAGAAGAATAATTTAAGTAATACCTTCAGGAAACAATCTGACAAATCCAGAAAATGGACATTCACCTGGATTCTTCGAAAAGTCAATACTTCAGTCAGCATTTTTTCATGATGGCATTGAAAAAAGAAAAAAATAATAATAATAATTTAATTTTTTTAAAAAAAAGTCAATACCATGAAGAAAAAAAAGAGGAACTTTTTTAGACTGAAAGATTCTAAAGAGGCATAAAATTCAAATGCAACACATGAGCCTCAACTGGATCCAGAATTAGAAACAGCTATAAAAGACATTTCATGCATAATTGAGGAAATTTGAATATAGACTGAATATTTCAAAGAGAAAGAAAATGGCAAAAATGTTTTTAAAAATCAGTAATTATTTCATTCTTTTATCATTTCTCTGGGTTTTATTTAAAAACACCTAAACTGCCTACCCTAAAGCTGTTTCACTATTACACACTAAGGGATTGGTAAACAAAAGATATGGAGAGCTAGAGTCTAATTATCTTGGAAGATATAACCTTGGGTAAAACTCTGTTCTTAAGTAAATGGAAATGCAAAGGCTGAAGAAATTTTATAAAGGAAGACGACTTGTCCAAAAAATCAGATAATTTCATTGATCATAAGTGCTATGAAGAAAAAGCACAGGGTCAATGAGAATATACAAGGGAAGAACTTCCCAAGGAGTGGGCCTTTAATCTGGGACTTGATCAGCAGGTTTTGACTAAATAAAGAGTAGGGGAAATAGTGTTCTAAACAGAAGGAAGAGTAAATGTGAAGGCCTAGAAGTGGGATAAATATATGGTATAGCCAATTGCACCTATAGAGCTATACAACATGTTACTATATTAACACACACGATGTATGTATACATTCTATTGATCAAGGTTTTATGAATATTTCACCAAAATAAATTGTCATTTTGTAGTAATTTCAGACACTGCAGTTTCATTCAACACCCAGTCCTAATCAACTTCTCCCTTACCTGCCTCTATGATAGAGTCTGTGAAAGCTAAATACAGTTAGGCATCACTTAACAACAACAGTGATGCATTCTGAGAAATGCATCCCAGGCGATTTCATCATTGTGTGGACATCATAGCGGTGGTATAACCTACTACACATCTAGGCCATATGGTATAGCCAATTGCTCCTATAAATCTTTACAGCATGTTACTATATTAAATACTGTAGGCAGTTATAACACAATGGTAAGTATCTGTGTATCTAAACCTATTTAGACATTAAAAAGTACAGTAAAAATACAGTATAAACGATATATTAAAAAACAGTATACCTTCATAGGGCATTTACCATGAATGGAGCTTGCAGGACTAAAAGCTCTAGGTGAGTTAGTGAGTGAGTGGTGAGTGAATGCTAAAGGCTAGGAGATTACTTTATACTACTTTATTTTTTTTTCTTTTTTTTTTCTTTCTTTTTTGAGACAGAGTCTCACTTTGTTGCCCAAGCTAGAGTGAGTGCCGTGGCATCAGCCTAGCTCACAGCAACCTCAAACTCCTGGGCTCAAGCGATCCTTCTGCCTCAGCCTCCCGACTAGCTGGGACTACAGGCATGCGCCACCATGCCCAGCTAATTTTTTGTACATACATTTTTAGTTGGTCAATTAATTTCTTTCTATTTTTAGTAGAGACAGGGTCTCACTCAGGCTGGTTTTGAACTCCTGACCTTGAGCAATCCGCCCGCCTCGGCCTCCCAGAGTGCTAGGATTACAGGCGTGAGCTACCGCGCCCGGCCTACTTTATACTACTTTAGACTTTAGAAAGTAGACTCAGGCTACTCTAAATTTATTAAAAATTTTTCTTTCTTCAATAATATAAATTATTAAAAAATTTTCTTTCTTCCATAATATAAATCAACCTTAGCTTACTGGAACTTTTTTATTTTATAAACTTTAAAAATTTTTTTAACATTTTGACTCTTGTAATAATACTGAGCTTGAAACACATTGTACAGCTGTACAAAAATATTTTCTTTCTTTATATCCTTATTGGAAAAGCTCTTTTCTATAATTAAATTTTATTTATTTATTTATTTTCCTTTTTAAAACTTTTTTTTTGTTAAAAACTAAGACACAAATACACACATTAGTCTAGGCCTACACAGGGTCAGGACCATCAACATCACTGTCTTCCACTCCACATCTTGTCCCCCTGAAAGGTCTTCAGGGGCAATAACGGGCATGGAGCTGTCATCTCCTGTAATAACAGTGGCTTCTTCTGGAATATCTTCTGAAGGACCCACCTGAGGCTGTTGTACTGTTAACTTTTTTTCTCAGTAGAAGGAGTATACTGTAAAATAATGATCAAAATTATAGTCAATATATAAACCAATAACATAGTTGCTTATTATCATTATCAAGTATTAGGTACTGTATATAATTATATATGCTAGATTTTTTTTTTACTTTTTTTTTCTTAACAAAAACTTGTATGGAGCCATCGCACAGAAAATCTGATAACTATACAGACCCTGTGGGCAGGAACCATGTATTTTGATGTATGTGACTGTCTATGGTTGCACTGTACAACTAACAATGCAATCATGTGCTAGACTTTTATCTGATTGGCAGAGCAGTAGGTTCTTTTACACCAGCAGCACCACAAATAGGTGACTAATGTGTTACACTACAATGTTACAATGCTATGAGGTCACTAGGCAGTAGGTATTTTTCAGCTCCATTATAATCTCATGGGACTATCATAATATGTAGTCCATTGTTGCCCAAAATGTTATGTGGCACATGATGGTGCTTGTTTTTCCAGTCTCCCTTCCAATGAGGCATGGCCATGCCATATGTTTTGCCCAGTGAGATATAAGGAGAAATCGGCTTGTACCACTCATTTTGCCTTTGACCTTCTTTCAGCCTTGATTACAGACACGATGTCCGGAGCTACAGTAGCCATAATGTGACCACAATCCAGGTGACATGAGGAAAAGGTAAAGAGAAGTAACAGAAATGCTGGACCTGGTAATAGTCAAGCCTCTGAACCAAAGTCAACTGCCCTGATCTCCACATTTCTTATTACATGGGAAAAAGGAACATTTGTTTAAGTCACTGGGTTTTCTGTTATTTGTAACTGAAGATCTTCCTTAACTATTACAGTAGTACAAAAAGTTAACTAACTTATCTTGTTCTGAGACTTTAAAGTCACTTAATTCCAGGGGACATTACTGTGCAGAGTTTGCAATTATACTGGAGATGGCTTTTATATTACAGTCTGACCTTTATAGGTCTCTTGTTTATAGCAGGTGGGTATGCCCATGTGGCTTGAAAAATAAAACTAAACCCATGGCCTTTAGTTCATGTGTTTCTAGCAGCTGAATGTGGTTTGCTTGTAGGAATGAAAATGCCCCTGAAATGTTAATTGATTCAGTTTGACAGTGCTTGCCATATCATAAATCAATATGATGTTTTTGTGAACTAGTGATAAAGTGGTGGTATGGGGGAAGAATCTGATAGTTATGGGATGGGTATGGTTTTTTAATCTTTTTTCTTTTTAAGGAAACTCGGGAAGATTGAGATCCTCTCTCCTTTTGGAATGTCCTATGTTATGGGAAAGATGGGGTAACATCAGTATTATGGACTAACTCTAATCCCAATCAATAACATTAGGCTCTATTTATTTTAAATAAATATATAGACACACACACAAATATATATAATATATGTGTATATATATATATATATATATACAAATTTGGGATCTGTTTAAACTACATATTTTAGTTCTATACTGTTGTATAGGAAATCACTCCAAAACTTAGTAGTTTAAGGTAATTTAAAAAATTGATTATCTGTGATAGATACCTCAATTACCCTGATTTGATTAATTTGCACTGTATGACTATATCAAAACATTACATGCACCCTGTAAAGATATATCACTATTCTATACCCGTAATAATTAAAAATAAAAATTTTAAAAAAATTATCTTTTGGCCGGGCGCGGTGGCTCATGGGCACTCTGGGAGGCTGAGGCAGGAAGATCGCTCAAGGTCAGGAATTCGAAACCAGCCTGAACAAGAGCGAGACCCTTTCTCTCCTAAAAATAGAAAGAAATTAATTGCCCAACTGAAAATATATAGAAAAAATTAGCCAGGCATGGTGGCGCAGGCCTGTAGTCGCAGCTACTCAGGAGGCTGAGACAGGAGGATCTCTTGAGCCTGGGAATTTGAGGTTGCTGTGAGCTAATCTGACTCCACAGAACTCTAGCCCAGGCAACAGAGTGAGACTCTGTCTCAAAAAATAAATAAATAAATAAATATTATTTTTTGTGGTTTCTGTAGATCTGGAATTTAGACAGGGACAGCTTGTCTCTACTCCATGACTTCCTCAATGAAGACTTGAAGACTGGGGTTGAAATCATCTAAAGGCCCTTTTACTCATATGGCTGGAGGTTGGTGCTGGTCGTGGTGGAGGCCCAGCTAAGATTGTCGGCCACAGTATTCACACATAGCATCTCCATGTGACCTGGGCTTCCTCACAACATGATCACATGATCGATGGGTTCCAAGGGCAAGCATCCAGAGAGAGAACCAGGTGGAAGCTGTGCTGCCTTTGATAACCTAGCTTCGGTGACATGAGCTTATATTGGGTGAGGCACAAACAAAGGTACACCCAGATTCAAGGGGAAAAAGCATAGAACCTCTCTCCCCAATGCAGGCACATCTTTCAACTGAGGCATGTCAAGGTCACATTATAAGAAGAACACGTGGGAGGGGATGTATATATGTTGGGGTAGTCATCTTTGTAAAATACAATCTGTCATACTATACTATTACCCTGTCTCTTTTTTTTAGAGACAAGGTCTTACTCTGTTATTCAGGCTGAAACATAGTGGCCCAATCATAGCTCACTGTAACTTCAAACTCCTGGACTCAAACCATCCTCCTGCCTTGGCCTCCCTTGGCCTCCCGAGTAGCTGGGACTACAGGCATGTGCCACCATGCCCAGCTAATTCTTTACATTTTTTGTAGAGATGGGGGTCTCACTATGTTGCCCAGGCTGGTCTAGAATTCAAGCAATCCTCCTGTCCAGACCTCCCAAAGTGTGGGAATCTTGCAGGCATGAGCCATTATGCTTGGTGTATAACCCCATTATCTTTAATGAACAACCATGCCATGCGTATAAGTTTTTTTATTTTATTGACAATGTCCAGAGAGATTTTTTTTTTTTTTTTTTTTTTTTTTTTTTTAGCAGCGATAGACCAGGGACAGAGAGATTTTTAATAGTCACAGTGCAGGGCAGGTAATGTGTGCTACTGGCATCCAGTTGTTAGAAGCCGGGGAGTAAACATCCTGCAATGCACAGAACAGGCATACACACACACACACACACACACACACACACATGCAAGCATATACTAGCACATGAACACAAAGAACTATCTTTAATAGAGGTTGAGAAATCCTGCCTTAGAATAGTAACACTCTGCAAGTATTTAGAATAAGTAGGCTTTAGGGGGAGGGAACTATAAAAAAACCTCAAAATCCTAAAAGCCTTCTAACTGAAAGATTTTATTTAATATTTGGCATTTATGTACCGCATGGTCTATAAGTAGCAAAGATCATTGCCTACACATATTTCAATTCCATGTATGATATTCCAAACCATCGATTCAATTCTCAGTGAACAAAAAGGGTTTATTAAATATATATTCCATCATCTTTACCTGTATTTCTACACTTAGAAGGCATTTTGTCATGGATTTTTTTACCCTTTATGTGGGTAATTTATTTGTGTACCACTTAGAAGAGTATTTGTCTTAAAAAAAATTGCTTTTTGTTATGTTTTGACTATCCTCCTCCCTATCCTGAAATCTAAGTTCAAAGCTCAAAGGAAATCAACCATTTTAATGTAGGGCAAGAAGAGATCTAATTTCCATAGGAACCCTTGGATGACTCTGTCTTGTATTAAATATTATACGTGCCATATATCCCTGTCTTTGCTGCTTCTCTTTTTTCATATTGGTCATTCACTAAGCATAAGTAGACATCTAATTTTTAAGAGCTGGCTCTCTAATAAAGATGACACTGGCAGGTTTCCCCTCCCTGCCACAGCATGCCCCACTGGCTGCACACAAAGCAATTACAACTCACCAGTCAGCCCTTTTCCGTGTGATAGCATCAGCAATTTTGCCCAGGGCTTCTTTTTTGATGAACAGTGGCAGAAATAATGGCCTAATTCACTAAAAGAAAAAAAAAAAAAAGAGCTCTATTGCTTTCTCCAAAACAATCCAATATTAACCCAAATCCTTCCTTGTTAAAACGAGGCCATCCAATTATGCATTTTAATACTATGATGATTTTTAACAATATCAAAGAGAAAGAGATTCATTAGAAAAATATTTTCAGATGAGAAATTAATGTGGACTCAGAGGAAAACAAATTTGGATCCATTTGAATTTTCTGTGTTTTAAATACATTTCCAAGTTCTTTTTGGATCCCAGGAGAGTCTACTTTGTCTTTCCGTGCTGGGCCTAACACAATTTGACATCTTCTCAAGCCTTTAAATGTAATTTGGGGGGAGATGCTTTAAATATCTTGTTAACTTCAGTGAGCAGCGTAGTCATGTTGATTTCAATGCCAAGAACAACGAATTTTTATCTCATTTTTGGAGCGCATTTCTGAACTTCCCTGAGGCTCACTTTATTTTCCACCCCTCCCACCCCTGCAAAATGAAAATAATCATATCTCCCTAAATTAAAGGAGATAGGAAAAAATACCTCTTTACATTTTATCATATTGAAGATAAAATGGTAACAATAAATAGTTCTACAATAAGAAACCACCTTTCTATACTGGGGGCAGGTGAGGAGAGGGCAAAAGGCGTTTTAAAAACAGAATTCCACTAGAGGGCAGTCCATACAGGATGTCATACTAAGAAGATTGTGTAGCAAACACAGAAAATGTTTGTGTTATATAATAATAAAACTGCTATGAAATTCAGAAAAAAATAGAATTCAGATAGTCCCTAAAAATTATGTATGTTTGTGGGCAAATATCATGCAGTAGTTTAGAACTTAAGCTTGGTTTTAGACCTGGGGTTCATTCCTGTCTTCACTGCTGCCCTTGGATAAATGCTTAATATCTCTTGAGCCCCAGTTTCTTTATCTGTAAAATAGAGGCGATTACAGACACCACATAGGGCTGTTGTGGGCATTAAAAGGGATCATATACTTAAAATATCCAGCATGGTACTAAACATATAATGTTGCTCAACAAAAAAATGGCAGGATGAAGATAATGATGGCAAAAAATACTAAAAAGCAAAATAGGAAAATTAAAATTATTTAAAGTATTGGACCAAGTTGTTTATATGTTTATTGCATAGTTTTATTTAAATTTACATTGTAGAGTTCGTAATGGAATATACTTTTTAATTAACTTTAAATAAAATTATTCTCTTTGATAAGGTCCCTGTTTTTTCTAACACCTTATCTTCAGCACTTGAAAGAGAAAAATTTTCATGTAGCTATAAAACGTTATTTTTGTCATTTTACTATCTAGAATATAATTATCACATTTTTGCTATTTTATTTTCATGTCCTAAGTGAGTAATCTGTCAACATCCCAAGGAAAGAATGGAATGTATAGATAATTTGTCTTTTAATGCTTTTAAATATTATTCCTCATAAGATATATAGCCGTGGGTTGGCATAGTACATTTCTCTTAGAACTTTGCATACGAAAATTTAATGTGATTAAAATAGAAATATTTAATACATTGTCACATATGACAATTACTCTTTATAAAATGATTGTTTAAATATGAGTTCCAGTAATCATTTAGAAATTCCTTTACAAAATAACTCATATGTTGGAGAGGCAACAGGTCATTGTAACTTGAGGCTAAAATATTCCATCACTGACCATGAAAGGTCACTCAGAAATAAAGATTTAATGCCTCTGAAATTATAGTGTGAGTCAAAATGGAAATATTTAATTATCAAACTTTGATTTATATACATCCGCCTTGTTCTTAGCCATTTAAAAGTAGCTGACTCACCACCCATCATGTGAAAAAGATCAACTAAAAGGCAGCCCTAGGCAATAACTGTCATCTCAGTCCTTTGCCTAGATTACATCTACCATTCATTCCTACATCATGGCCACACCAGTGTTAGCCAGATGACCAGCATCACTGTCATCACCAGCATCTTCATCACCAATCACCATTACTTCCTCTGACTTGATAAACTCATTGTTCACTTTTTCAAATCTCCCTACTTATTTGATCCTAGCTGGCCAGTTAATAGAGAGGAAACTGGTTAGGGATTTCTTGTACCTTTTTGAATTCTAACCTCAGGTATAAATGACAATGTGTTCTTATGAAACTAAGGATGGGAGGTACCCACCTCCATATGTGAACCAGGCTTATGATGACCACTGGGAAACATAATCAGACTGGAGAGCTGAGGAGCTGTCCTCCTACCCGTGTGCCCATCACAAATGTGCTCTGATGGATCCAAAGGCAAGTTCTCATCACTAGGGTGTACTCAAGAAAATAATTATAATTACTACAATAAAGTTACTATAATAAATATAAACTATTATAAAAATTAATAATTAATATAAATTACTTAATTTCCCTCTGATCCCTGCCTGTCTAGTGGCCCTGACCTACATGAAGCTGGACCTCCAGGGCACCTACAACCTTGATCAATTTAGCAAAAACAGGATTCTTTTGCTGAATTACAGGATTCTGCTCAACATTCTGGATCCAGAAGTTATTGCAATCAGTGTTTTCTAAACCTGGCTGATAATCAGAACCACCTGAGGAAGGTTAATTTTTTGTTTTTATAATTTAAGTTCTAGAGCTTTTGAATTCTATCATTTTAAAAGCTTGCCAGATGATTCTGATGATTCTCCAAGCTTGAGAACCACAGAACATTGATGACCATCTCATCACCAATCCTGGCCTCACAAAACTCCCTGCTCTGAGTGGTTTTTGATTAATGGCAATAGAACTGCTGTGAGACCAGACCTGGAATTGAGTTTTTGAGCACTTGAGTTGGAATCCCTGGCTCCTCCCTGCCCAGTTCTAGCCCCACCACACACAAAACTCAATCTAAAATAGATGGCAATGGGAGGCCACGAGGCCCTGGGACACTGTTGGCACAAAAACTCTTTGGCCATCCAGTCCCAGTTTCAGCTGACCAAGATGATACAGTGGCTCCTGCGAGAGCTCAGAGCTATACAGAGGAAGCCCAGGGGTCAAGGACTGCAAAGGTCCCTAATCTATTAGAATGACCTGATTTTGTTTCACATTCTGAAAGGGTAGTTCCTGGATGACTTCACTCAAAACCTTAACATAATCATCAGACACTTTGACAGTTAGAAAAAGGCCAAGGTGGTGTAAAGGTCTGATATATCCTTTCACAACTCTAAATCTAAATGGGACATTATGGCAATAGACTTTATTTCAGACTGCCCTCTTCCCCATATCAGGATACTACCCTACTTGTGACTATCCTCAAAAAAATGGATATGCCCCCTCTCCACCGTCATCCTCCTCTATCATATGTACCAACCACAGCCTCTTGATTACCAAGGGAGATCCCTCTCCATGGAACTTCTCTCTCTCTCCCCATGGAAGAGCCAATCACATGAGCTCTGATTTTAGGAGCCCATTTTAATTTTTATTTTATAAGTACTACTCAAAGATCTCAAAAAATTTCATTTGCCTTTCCATTTCCTACCTACTATAGACCATTCACCAGATAGAGCACAAAATCTAGGTTCAAAGTTCTTTCATTTCCATAGCTACTGAAACCACACTCCTACAGCCAAAGGCTGATCTCATTACCATGGCGTTTGGATACAATTTACAGAAACCCTTCATCCAGAATGTAACCTTTCACAACATTTAGGAGCCAGTCTGTATCCAGATGAGGTACCTACAGTTGGAAAAGATCTGCATGCCAAAGAACATGCCAACAGGCATAGGGAAACTCAAAATGGTAGCATCCATCTGACTCCTCTCTCATTGTAAATGCCCTCACTCATGCCAAGGACCAGAGGACCTGTACTAGGACCACTTCTAGATGGCAGAAATCATCTGCCCCATCACCTGTACTCTCATACCCACCTTCCATGTGCCTCCCCAAAATTTTCACTATTCTTGCTGACCACCAAGATCCTATGCTATATAACTCATATCTCAGTGCCAAGCCCTGGTGAACCAAGATTGAGAAGATGTAGTGGGCTCCTGGACATCAAATCTCCCTTCAGTGTTTGGTTCATTACAAAGGGAGTGGCTGGAAGAGCAGTCATGGAATTCTGACTTTCACCTTGGAAACAGAATATACCAGATCGTATAAAGCTAAATGAACAAAGGTAGCCAAAAGAGACACATCCCACATCTGCCCCTTTAAATGGGTCTGACTTTCCTTTGCTCTACATAGGGCAAAGGAAAGCAGACAACTGGCAATAATATATCTTAAGACTTGCCCATAATATCCTCACACCTACCTGCTCATGACAGTTACTTAGATGCTCCTCTTTGTTTTGGATTCTCATTCGACTATATTGAATACCACACCATGCCCCTCCATTGCCCCCTACCACTCACGCACACACCACTTTCCTTAGTTACAGGATCTTATAAAGTTTGGGCTGGTCTCACTAGTCCCTCCAAAGTTTCCCCACTATGGGTAGAAAATTGAGAACATATGGTTCTAAGACCATCCTTGGTTCTTCCTTCCCAGTATAGTAATTAGATTTAGGGTAGCTCTGTATTATGCCTAACTGTGAATTCCAGGAAAGACCTAAACCACAAAGAAGTTAATTTCCTTATATCCAGGAAGGCTAAGCTCTCTTATGGCAGCAATTAATATCCATCTGTGTTCTTCCATTAATGTGGATCCAGTGTGTAAGTAAGGACTTGGCAGGGTGACAGAGGATATCTTTGTCTGAGGGGCAAAAGTAATTTATAAGAGGATGTGAAGAGAGACAGATGTTCCCTTGGATTATTGATAAGAAAGCTGTCCAGGGGGGTTATTAGTAGTATTAACATTATTTTAAATGTGGTTGGTTTGGATAGTTTCTGACTTTTCAGAGGGTGACCTCTGAATTCAGCCTCAAATCCTGAAGCAGAAGGTAGCCTTATGGGAAGCTTTCAAAGACTTCTGAGCTTTGTGCCTGGGTTTAATTATCTCTCCCTAGTTGTGAATTTTGGCAAAATTACAGAAGTGCTACTGCCCTGCGAGCAAGGGCCATTCCTGTAGAGTCTGATAAATCATTTTTTATCTGTCCAGAATTCTCATCACTCTTTCTAGTCATTGATCCATGGAAAGCAAATTAATGACACAAGTAGGAAAGCAAAGCATAGGATGTGGGTTATTTGCCAAGTGGGTTGCTGCTTTGGCATGTGTTTGGTGATAAATGTCAGTACTGGACATGCTTTCAGCATTTAAATCTGGCCCATTAATCCAATAACTGGGACAGTGAGCAACTCTTTCTTTCGGACCACCCTTGACATTGAATCATCACAGTTTGGTCACTTGCTCCTGGAGTCCCGCATTAAGCAGGATGATGTAATTTTACATCTACAGTAGTAAACACAAATTCCATAGAACATGTTTCACATAATATAGGTAAGTCATGTATTTTACTGCCTGAATATGGCTCAATTGAAATGGGTCTTTTTTAAAGCAGGATTTTGAAACTTTAAGACATTATTAGAATAATTGTGCTAAGGATGAGAGTACCCCCATGAACTAAAGAGAGAAAATAACCAGAAAACAGACTTATGAGCTGGCAAATTAGGCGGCATCTGTTCAACCTGGCAGAGTTCCTTGAAATAACTTCACACTACCCCACGGCTAACAATAGGTATAGCCAAAGAGGTTCATTGACTGAACGAACCCAAATCTCCAGCTCCAAATTTCCAGGAGGTGTGGTCAACAAACCTCCCCTTGTTTCTCTGGGCTGAACTTTCAACTCCACTTATTATTTTCCAGGTAGGTGTTGGCCCTACCTTGAACTTGACCACGCCTTCACATATCTGCTTGCAACTTTGGATCCTTGGAATGACCACCTTGCATCTCTTTTCTGGCAATGAATCCACAGACCACCTGGTTTAAGCACCCTCCTGGCTTGACAGTGTTCCCAGACCTCTCCTCTCCAATACCACCTGTAACTGTGGAGCTCTCCGCAGCTTGGTCCAACAGCAACTACCTGTTGGAATTTGAAAGGCACTAGAAAGTTCTCCTTTCCTTATTACTTACTTCTCTATGGAAGCTTTCCTAAAATGTTCTTTTAGAATTGGCAACTCCCTCTTTTGGGCTCCCACTGTTGTAAAATTAATTAATTTACTAATGTGGCTATTTCCCCTACTTAACTCCTTAATAGCAGTCACTAAGTACCATTTAACTTTTTATTTCCCCATTGTCTTGCGCAGGGCATTCATGGCATATAGTAGGTGTTCAATAAATGCTTGACAAATGAATGAATGCTTTCATAATATAGTTATCATTTCCCCAACACCAGGATAAAAGTCTACTATTAGCAGTTGAATCATTTCCAATTAAATCACCCTAAAGTTACTGGTGTGTCTATCAACATGAAAAATATATACATCTACTTCTAAGAATGCCATCTGAACTTTCAGAGTTCTCCACTCATGACAAGAATGCCGAATTTATATAGTAATTTTTATTTATTTGCTATTTTTAATATTGTTAATTATAACTGACATTGAGTACTTACTATACCCTAGTCACTGTTATTAGCACTTATATATATTATTCTGTTAATTATTATTTCAACATTACAAAGTAGGTAATATTGTTACCTTGAGGAAACTAAATCTAGGATGGTTAAAAAACTTTTCCAAGTTGACAAAGCTAGTAAACGGCAGAATCAGGAATTACATAATAACACAACAAAAAGTTAAATGAAAAGTAAACCCAGGCCGGGCGCTGTGGCTCACGCCTGTAATCCTAGCTCTTGGGAGGCCGAGGCGGGCGGATTGCTCAAGGTCAGGAGTTCAAAACCAGCCTGAGCAAGAGCGAGACCCCGTCTCTACTATAAATAGAAAGAAATTAATTGGCCAACTGATATATATATAAAAAAAAATTAGCTGGGCATGGTGGCGCATGCCTGTAGTCCCAGCTACTCGGGAGGCTGAGGCAGGAGGATCACTCGAGCCCAGGAGTTTGAGGTTTCTGTGAGCTAGGCTGACGCCACGGCACTCACTCTAGCCTGGACAACAAAGCGAGACTCTGTCTCAAAAAAAAAAAAAAAAAAGTAAACCCAATTCCAGAGACCCATTAACAACACAGCTCAGACAATAATATGTTCTTCTTCCCCAAACATCAACAAAGATATTCCTTCCATTACTGTAAGAGAAGTGGAGACCTTGAAAAGTAAAGTTATAGGGCATAAAGGCAAAGCTTAAAATCTAAATTCTATGATTCCCTTACTAGTTCTTTAGTTAAATACTATACTAGTGATCTTCTCAATCCAATGAACAAAATACAGAGGAAGGGAGCTTTATAACGCTAAAGCCCAAGTAGATTGCACAGTCTCTATTATATTTTTATTGTTAATTTTGAGCTAATCTCTTGTTATTTTTCCTCTTTGTTCTAGTTCATCTGCCCTATATTTTTCTCTCAGATACCTGACATAAGAAATGAATGGGGGAAAAGGGAGAGATACACACAGATATAAAATAAAGATGTAAGCTGGGAGAAGAATAGTGAAGACTACCCAAAATCTGTGCCTTCCATCCCCAACTCTTCTCATTCCACTGGTCACCCCCAGCAATTTGAAGAGCAATACTCACAGAAGAAAAAAAAGAATAGCCAATAAATATATGAAAGGGTATTCAATATCATTAGTAATCAGGCAAATAAAAATTCAAACATCAATAAAGTACCATTTCCCCATAATATGCCAAAATAAAAAAAAATAATTAAAAAAATAAAAAAAAAATAAAGTACCATTTCATACCCATCAGATTGGCAAAAAATTAGAAAGTCTGATATCCTAATTATGAGGAAATAGGAACTTTCAACCCCTGCTGGTGGACATGTAAATTAATATAACCACATTAGTGCAGCCATTAAAGGAAACAGTATGGATGTTCCTAAAAAAATTAAAAATAGGACTACCATCTGAAACAGCAATGCCTCTTCTGGGTATATTCCTATAAGGAAATGCAATCACTGCCTGCTTAAAATACCTGCACTCTCATGTTCATTGCAGCATTGTTCACAATAGTCAAGACATGTAAACAGCCTAATGATCATATTATCCAAAGTTATCTATACATTCAATGCAATCCTATCAAAGTTTAATGACATTCTTCATAGAAATAGAGAAAACAATCCTCGAATTCATATGGAACCACAAAAGACTCCAAATATCCAAAGCAATCCCGAGTGAAAAAAGCAAAGCTGGAGGCATTATGCTACATGACTTCAAAATATACAACCAAGCTGTAGTAACCAAAACAGCATGGTACTAGCATAAAAATAGACATGTAGACCAGCAGAACAGAATAGAGAACACAGAAACAAATTCATGTACATACAGCCAATTAATTTTTGATAAAAACACCACGAACATCCATCGGGGAAAGGAAAGTCTCTTCAATAAATGGTACTGGGAAAACTGGATATCCATATGCTGAAGAATGAAGCTAGACTCCTATCTCGCACCATACACTCAAAAATCAACTCAAAATAAATTAAAGACTTAAATGTAAGACCCCAAACTACAAGAATACCAGAAGAAAACATAGGAGAAATACTTCAGGGCATTGGTCTGGGTCTGGGCAAAGATTTTATGAATAATACCTTAAAAGCATAGACAACAAAAGCAAAAATAGACAAATAAGACTATATCAAACCAAAAATCTTCTGCAAAGCAAACAACCAACAGAATGAAGAGACAACCTGTAGGGTGAGAGAAAATATTTGCAAACTATTCCACCTGCCAAGGAATTAATATCCAGAATATACACGGAACTCAGACAACTCAACAGCAAAAATATAGAAATATAATTTGATTTAAAAAATGGTGAATGACCTGAATAGACATTTCTCAGAAGAAGATATACAAATGGCCAAGAAGTATGTGAAAAAATTGTCAACATCACTAGTCATCAAAGAAAGCAAAACCATAATGAGATATCATCTCACCCCGGTTAGAATGGCTATGATCAAAAAGACAAAAAAATAAAAGACTGGCAAAGATATGGAGAAAAGGAACTCTTATACACTGTTGGTGGGAATATAAATTAGTACAGCCAT